ATGTGTATGTGCCTAAGTAAATATATACATACATACATATGTTTCATTAAATTGTATTAAAATAGTTTTATATAAAAAGGTCCACTTTAAATCACTTTAGATAATTGAGGAAAAAAGTCGAAAAAATTGCCTAAAAAATCTTATCAACATAGCTGAAATAGAAAAATTCATACATGTTTGCAATCAGCAAATCGATTTCACGCAAATATCATATTTTCGGCAAGCAAGCAAATGTACAAAAGCCCGCTCCTTTCCCTGTTTCCCCGCTTCTTTCTGTACACTTGTCGTTCTGACTTCCATTTTTATTTTAGAGTTTGTTTTGATCCGGCACAAGCACGCGCCTGCCTCCGCAAGCATCCCCTCTGCCTTGTGCTTATTAGATTTCTGTTTCTCTTTTGTTATTCGTTTTTATTTTTAGTTTTGCTTTAAACTATGCTACACGCTCGCCTCCGCAAGCATCCCCTCTGCCTAGTGCTTATTATTATATTACTGTTCCTCTTACCTGTTTCGTTCTTATTTTTTGCGTTGAACTATGGTAAATTTTCCGAAGTGTGGAGACACGGAAAAATTTTTGGTATGGTGGCAGCCGACGAGTGGTGTATTTGGCCGACTGCACCCCAAAATTTCTGGCAGCAATTAGTTCACACTGAAAATGCGCCTTCTCATTTATAAACGTTCTCTGCCCTAAGTGGGGCCGAAGGCCGCCTACGTAGAAAGGTGTTCTCTGCAAAAGGTGTTCAGCTCCCTTTCTTCGCAAAACATAAAAGAGAATTCTACTGCCTGAGGGTTATAATCCCTAAGTGCTGCCGAAGGCCGCCTACGCAGAAAGGTGTTCTCTGCAAACGGTGTTCAGCTCCTTTTCTTCGCAAAACAGAAAGGAGAATTCTACTGCCTGTGGGTTATAATCCCTAAGTGCGGCCGAAGGCCGCCTACGTAGAAAGGTGTTCTCTGCAAAAGATGTTCAGCTCCTTTTCGCAAAACAGAAAGGAGAATTCTACTGCCTGAGGGTTATAATACCTAAGTGCGGCCGAAGGCCGCCTACGCAGAAAGGTGTTCTCTGCAAACGGTGTTCAGCTATTTTTCTTCGCAAAACAGAACGGAGAATTCTACTAAGTGAAAATTCCGAATTAAAAATCCGCTTTTATTATTCAAAATTCCAGTCTGGTTGCACCAAGTTGTATGTTATTTTGCTATCTTATTCATCGTTTATATGAAAACTTTCACAATCAATTATATAAGAACTATAGGGTTGCTAGAAAAAAGCGGGGTCCTAATCTACCCCCCTCATCCCCCCTTTTTCTAGAATTTGCCGCCCGTCTACTAAAATTTTCCCAAATCCTGTAAACCGGACTGCTATTGGAACAGACTATTACTAGGTTCACATATAAGTAGATTATCCTCATTTTCGAGCTTAACACCCTAATCTGTAATTATAACAAGAGATTAGCCATATAAAATTCGTCCTTGTTAATCTGTAATTATAAAATAATCGCTGATTAAACCGATAACTTTTCGGTGTCCATCCTAGTTTTATCGATTGTTTTTGCAAAAAAGAGGAGATATGCCAAATGTAAAAGTAAACAAAAATGTACGCTAGCAAGGAAAAGAGGTTTGTAAAGGTATTTTTAATAAAATGTTAAGTTAAAATATATTTATATTGCTTATTATAGCATAAAAACGTGATCACGGTGGCACAGAGAAGAAACATAACTTTTCCTTGAGATGTGAGAATAACAAGCACAACAAATTTGACGGCTAATAATCTGAGATTTGCCTGTGTAAACGGGGTGATTAAAAAACGAACTTTGATTGAGATAATATTTATATGTGAACATAGTTTATGCGTTGATGCGCCTTGGCCGTTGATGTAAAAAGCTCATATGGGGTGTTCACAGTTCATTCCAAATAGTGTCTCAAAATGTAGACGTCTACATTTTAAGACGTTTTCTAACCGTAAAATCTGTGGTGTTGTTTCCCATACAAAATTGGAAAACGACGCCGTCTACATTTTGTCACACTCAAAGGTATGTTTTTTACGCGTCTACATTTTGCTACCTCGCAGCAGGATTGCATTATGGCAATACTAATCACATTTTTTTGATTTATTGGGCACGTTTTCTGTATTTGCATTTAATTTGAGCGCAATTTCTGATGAAAAGAAACAAATCAAGGAAAAGAAATAACAAATATTACGAATTGGTAATTAAGTTATATAATTACAATTTTTCAGAAACAAAATCGAAAGGCGACATATAAAAAATGCACGCAAGGAAGAAATGTCTGGCTACACCAGCCAAGTTTTGAGACGATTTTGCGACGACTGCTAGAAAGGGGTGCTCACAGTTTGATGCTAAAGATGTCTCAAAATGTAGACGTCTACATTTTCAGACACAATTTGGAACGAACTGTGAACGCCCCAATAGCAATTTCGGCAAGCAGTATCGTTTGCTCAATAACCGCAGAGCTCCACATGCAAACACCGATGGCATACCAACTGTTATTTTGACGAGCAATGTGATTGCAAGTTTTTGTGTGTGGGCACTTTGATGTCTTGAAATAAGCATTTGCCGCATGACGCCACCAGACAACATTCTCTCAATTTCGTTGTTTAAAAACATTTAAATCTTTAAAAAACTTGCTGAATAATTTTCTAAAACGTAATCATAATTAATCCAATAAGGAACAGACTTTTATTTTGATTTAATGTAAAAATTTCATCGATGTTACCACCAGCACGCTTTCTTTCAAATGAAAATATGGCTGTCAAACTATCGAATTGCCTGGAATAGATGTCAAGCAATAAGCGCTGACATATATTGCAGCACATGAGAAATAGGCGGCTCCATTGAAAATATATTTTGTGACATAGTTATCACGACATCAGTGTTTTCCTGTGGAGACAGGGCCTAATAAAACTTAATAAAACTATCGATAAGTCTACTACTTTTATCGAACAAATGTTGATTTATTTTCGGTAATTGTTATTGAATACATCTATTAAAGATTCCATCAACAATGCAATGGTTGAATTCAAAGTTAATAAATAAGTAAATAAAATAAAAAAAGAACATGCTGAGTTATATCTATATGCGATGTAAGTACAATGTGATGCCGAAGGTTCGAGTTCAACCGTTGTTATCAATGAAATTAGCAAAAAATTGCAAGTACTGTGTCGTTATTTACTCACAGTTTTTTTAGAATCTTGCGAAGGCGGAGGGGTTATGGCTCTTGATAGATATCCCACTCAATAGAAAAATGACGGGTTAAACTTTACAAAAAGCTGTATCTGGCCCCTCGAACCCTTCAACGGTCTATATATACAAATAAATATAAACTCGATTTGCGCCATCCGAACATTTTAAAAAAGGGGTTTAGAGGGGACTTGAATAACATCACCCGATTTCAAAAATACCACACCTTTGGGTACGGTTTTAACGGTGCTCACATGAGTCAATTTTACAGGCCATTTTGGAAGCGATTGGGCCTTCGCACACTAACCTGCTCAGTCGGACAGCAGTCCACCACTCGAACACACACTGGACTGAAAAGTCGGACGAAAACAGGTTTCAGTGTTGTATATGTGAACCACGCTTGATTGGGGGAAACTTTCCATTATGGTAGTTCGTTAACGGTGTGGAGGGCGAAGAGGTAGTGGGCGTGGCACCTCCAACCGACCTTTTTGGCGAGGGCATGAACCGCCATTCTGAAATGGCCAAAATGGCAATTTTTACTTGCGTCCACAGTATTTTTGCGTAGAATTCCTTTCTGCGTTGGCGCCTTCGGCCATGCTTAGGGATTATAACCCTTACTACGTAGAATTCTTTCTGCGTGCACCTAACTGGGGCTACCGCCACCGTGATGTAACCTTGGCAAAGGATGAGGTAACTAGAATTCCCTTTCTGTGGTAAACATGGGGCTGCCGCCCCAGTGATGTCTATTTTGGTTACTGGGTGCTTTATAAAAATGTCTTGTACATAAAAATGTGTATCTAAAAATGTATTGTGCAAATGAATATGTAACATTTTTCAAGCGAATAAACGCAAATGAAAATTTTGATTTTTGGCAATTTTTCTAAGGAGTCCCTAGGGAACCATAGGGGACCTAGGTTGTCGGGGGTTGCATTTTTGTCAATGGCGGTTCATTCCCTCTCCAAAAAGGTGGGTTAGAGGTGCCACGCCCGCTTACCTTTCGCGCCGCCCCTTTAACGAACGGCAATAAAGGAAAGCCAACCTCTCTGTTTTAGATTGTTTCTTATATCCCGCCTAATAGTAATTATAATCTTTATAAAGCGAATGCTGACAACATAATGTCTTTAGTATTAAATAAGCTAGGAGATGACCTCCTTTGTGTATTAGGCGATTTTAATCTTTGTAATGTATCTTGGTCCACATCTTTTTCCAATGCTGGTCTCTCGCCAATTAATGTCAATGCGTCCCATGAAGTGTACTTTATAGATAGCCTCTTAAGACTTAATTTATTACAAATCAATAATTTTGTTAACAAGTTGGATAGAATTCTTGACCTCATATTTATTAGTGATAACATTAACTAACCATCTAATATGCATCATGTTCCTCTGTTACTAAAATTTGAATTTTATGTATTCCCGTCTTTCAATGCTGGTGACAAACCTAAGTTTATTTATGCAGCCTGCGATTATCCCAAGTTAAATAGATTACTGGGTAAATTAAATTGGGAAAGCTTACTCTCTTGCCCCGATGTAGCTAAATGCTTCGCTACTTTCAAATCTTTAATTTCTGATTTTTGTTTTAAATTCGTTCCAATAATTAGAAAAATACCCTATAAATTACCGTGGTATAATCGTGACTTGAAAAAACTGAAGAATCTTAGAAACAACTTTTATAATAAGTTTAAGGCCTCTGGAAGTCAGTTTTTCTTTGAAAAATATCAGGCACATCTTAAAAAGTTTAACTGCTTGAATAAATTCCTCCACAGAAATTATATCTTAGGCATTGAATCTAATATCAAAGAAGATCCGAAATCATTCTGGCATTTTATTAAGTCTAAGAAGAACTCTAGTATTCCCTCAGCTGTATTTTTTTAAGATAAATGTGCCTCCACTCCAGCTGAAGTTGCAAATCTATTTGCTGCATTTTTTAGTTCTAATTTTGTAGATGATAACCCTACTGTGGATTCTAGTTTCTCTGCTAGTGTGAATTCTACTAATTTTTGACTTTCGTCTGACAATATTGCTAATGGTATTTTAAATCTATCAGCTTCTGCAAAACAAGATATTGATGGGCTCTCTTCAAACTTTATAAAGAAGGGTCCTGCTTTGATCTCTCCTTTAAAAATTATTTTCAATAGGTCTCCAGCCTCCGGTATTTTTTATGATGAATTGAAATTGACTTCAATTACCCCTATTCTTAAAAGTGGCAGCAAAAGTGATGTCTGTAATTACAGACCCATTTCGAAACTTTCAACAATTTCCAAACTTTTTGAAGTTATCGTCAAGGAGAAAATATATTTCGCAACAAAAAGTCTAGTCTCACCCAATCAACATGGTTTCGTCCCCAACCGATCTACGGTTACTAATCTAGGCGTCTTTAGTGAGTATTGTATTGCAGCTATCTCGAACGGTTTCCAAGTCGACTGCATTTACACTGATCTTTCCAAAGCATTTGATAGAGTTTCGCATAGTTTGTTGGTCAGTAAGCTAGCCTCACCGGGTTTCCACTCAGTATTTTTGCAATGGCTCAAATCTTATTTGTCGGATAGGCGCTGTGTGGTGTGTGTTAATGGTTGTTCTTCGGAATTTTTCATTGCCTCATCGGGGGTTCTTTGTATTATTTATAAATGATGTGAGTTCTTGTTTTTCATTTGCTAAATTTTTGCTGTATGCTGACGATTTAAAAATTTTTACTGTGATTGAAAATTCGCATGATGCGCTTAGACTTCAGTCCGAGATTAATATTCTACACTGCTGGTGTCTCAGCTCTCGCCTTTCTATGAATATTAAAAAATGTTTTCAAGTTACTTTTTCCAAAAGTCACAGTATTCTTTCGACGTCTTATGTAATCTCTCAAACTCAACTTCAAAAAGTTCAAGAAATCAAAGACCTTGGTTTAGTTTTCAGCTCTAATTGGTCTTTTAACAGTCATATCAGTCACATCATTTCTAAATCTTACGCTGTACTTGGTTTTCTCAGGCGTCAGAGCTCAATGTTCTCTAACCCCTATACACTTAAATTGTTATACACATCTTTTGTTCGTTCTAAGTTAGAATAAGCTTCTTTTATCTGGAGGCCATACCACTCAAACCTAATTAATAGGATTGAAAGGGTTCAAAAGGTTTTTCTTAAATTTGCCCTCAGAAATCTTAACTTCAGCGAGCCTATTCCATCGTATAAGTCTCGTTTGCTATTAATAGACCTTAAATCTCTGGAAGCCAGAAGATCTTTGCTATCTCTAACTTTTACCTTTAACTTAATGAATGGTGTGATCGATTGCCCTACGCTCCTAGAGCAGGTCAACTTCAATGTTCCTCTAAGGAATCTTCGCAATCCTCTGCCGTTTTATGGAGGAAATTGTAAAACGGAGTATGCCAGAAATGCTCCTATTTCAAGAGCTTTAAACGAATTCAACACGATCTCGAATTCTATCGAACTGGATTTCTCTCTTCCAAAAAGTTTATTTATTTTATCTTTGATCTCGAAACTGTAGAGTGCTTTATGTTTTACACGTATCGTCTAAGTAGCTAATTTTTATCTCTAGTCTGTAAGGAACGTCTGTTTCATATGATTGCAATAAATTACAAATTACATATGGCACATGCAAACACAACGAAATACCCCTGCAGCAATTCCGGCTCACCCTAGGTTAGTCCTCAGATAGTCCCTATTGTTAACAGCAATAGGCCCTCATAATTCCCCTGCCGGTTATGGTGCAGTTCATGGTCCCCACCGAAAATTGATGCAAAATAATCGAAAGGAATATCAAACGACGCGTATTACTGCCAGTATTAAGAATCCGAAGGCGGAAACCTATTTATTACACCGTTCAAAAGTTATTTGCAAAAAACTGTTTCATTTAGCACATCTTTGTTAGTACTGAAATCAAATTAATAAATGCACGAAATGAGTACATATTAATATCTCGATGTTCAGCATAGTTTATTTTAGCCGAATTTGTAACAAAAAACCACGAAACTTAATGATTTAATGATGTATTATACTGAGAACAACGAATGTAAAGCCGGCGTCTTCTTTTTTACCTCGCTTTTATTAGCTTGGGATGTAACTATGTAATAATGATGCACCTAAAAGATGCAGCGATTTCCATTCTCAAGTTACGTAGCGAGTTTTTAGTTTTTTAAACTATAATTTTATTATTGCGCTAGTTGTAATAAAAACATGGAGGTGCTTGCTGTTGCCAGTTCATTAATAACAGAAAAGGTTTAAAGCAGGGATGCCAACAAAAAAGATGCAAGATTTTGCTTTTTACGTTATCTCGACTGACCAATTCTGGCGATTTTTTTTTAAAGTATTACTTTATAATTTATTTTAATGAATTCTCGCCTACGCAAAAAGGAATTCTACACAAAAATACTGTGGACGCAAGTAAAAATAGACATACGCATATCAAACGAAAGGAAATTAATTTTCTCTATACCAAAAGAACGACAACACTATCCTTATAATAATAATATAATAATAATAGATTGGCGCTTACACATATGTTAGTGTTTGGCCGAACTTCTCCTCCGACTTGTGGCGTGCGCCTTGATGTTGTCACACAAAGCGGAGGGACCTACAGTTTTACGCCGACTCCAAACGGCGATTGTATTTTTATGAGAAGCTGTTTTACATGGCAGAAATACACTCCGAGGTTTGCCATTGCCTGCCGAGGGACGACCGCTGTTAAGAAAAAACCTTTTTCTATACTTTTTTGCGATGTTGCTTTGACCAGGGCTTGAACCCAGGTGCTGATGAGTGGAAGCGCGCACTGCTTACCACTACACCACAGCGCCTTATAAGGCTAGTTAAAAAAAAAAGCAGTTTAAATGGAATTTTTTCATATATTTTTTATAAAAACCAATTTTTATCAGAAATTAGAAATGCAAGGCACAAGGAAT